TATATATATATATATATATATATAGAGAGAGAGAGAGAGAAAGAGAGAGAGAGAGAGATAAAGAAAAATGTGATATAAAGATATAAATACACCACCAAAAAAAGCACCCAGTGGTCTTACAGAAACACCCCATCTCCACTGTGAGCATTGGAAAAGTATATAAATATAATGTTAAGATAAAGAATTCAGCATACCTAACCAGGCAACACCTTCCACCAGGTGGAATCCTGAAATATGATGTATAAGCAATGATAAGACAAAATAATAATAATATGATGATGACTTATCCCAGACACAGGTGAACAAATGTGTAGAATAGCCACAGGAGTAAGATAATATCTGCCCAAGGAAGACACAGCAAAGTTGTGCAGAGAAAGATTGACGAAAGTATAGGGAATTGTCCACATTCTAGCATGAATGATCCCCTACAAATGATGGCAGTGTCGAGCAGTTAAAGACAGTAAGATGACAATTTAGGTGTCAAGAAACAATATGTAGATGGAGACCAGCTAGGGACACATCAAAATATGCCAGGTGTAGGAGCTTATGAACCCAACCCATGAGCATAATAAGAGAAAGATTAGGGGAAAGACGAATGCCATGAAAGAATGTGACAAGAACGAGAACAACGAAAGAAAACAGTACGGGCCAAACATGAGATCAGAGAATGAACTGGATATAGGAGAAGATCTAGAAACAAATGGGAATACAGGTGGAAAAGGAAGAAAAGGAAAGAGGAGAAAAGGTAAAACAACCTACCCAGGCATCTGAAGTCCAGGGAAGGAAAGCCAGATCTGGATAATGAAAACATTATGTGAAATAGTAAATGATGGCATAAACATTGGAACAACCAAGACAGCATGCCAGGAGGGAGAGAATTGAGGTTGTAAGAGAAATATTTTACAAGGAACAATTTGCAATGGGTTCAAAGGTAGAACCAGAAAGAATAGGAAGAATAAGATGGAGATCTCAATCCAGTAGAACAAAAGAAATGTGTTGGATGAACCAGATGAAAGAAATGGAACAACCCAGGAAAGAGAAACTTTCTGGAAGAGGGAGAAAGGAGATAGTTGGACATGGAAGTTCTATAAAGAGCAACAGTTGAAACAGACAAACACTGAACAAACAACCAGATGAAGAGGT